TCAATCATTTTACAATTTACATAAATGGCGAGTATCTCAAGCAGTTCCGTTTGCACGCAATATTAACTGGATATTAATTTTGTAACGCAAGCAAAGGTTTGTTCGGAGCATTTACGATATTGCGCCGACGGTTGATGCTTCGTCGCAGAGATGCTTTTTCGTCTACGATGATGTTGACGATCCAATTAGAAGCGACGCGTAACTCGATCGGTTGATACAACAATTACAAGCGACTACAGGACAGATCTTTATCTCTTGGCCCAAGTAGCCAGACTGCAAAGACGCCTAAGCCTCGGAGCAAACCATAAATTCGAACCGCACCCCTTCTGTCAGTCGTCTCCTTCCTCCTCAGCCCCATTACACGGTGACTCACGTTACGGGGGTGGTTCACCCCCGACTTGGCTGGCGGTGTGCCCAGTGCAGTTGGTGTCTTCTTATCGCCAAGGTTGCGCCAGGAATATGAAACTTTGTAGTAGCGATGCGACATAACTTTGTAAATTGAATAAAAGAATCTGAATATTTCCTCTTTAACTTAAAACACATCAGATAGATAAAATTTATTTGAGTATTTAACGCTATGCTGTTGAACAAAGAAAGCTTTATACAGATTTTCTACGAGACTACTAGAATAATTCCGATATCATAACGTGGACGAAAAATTATAAATTATAAATTCATTTGAACAAAATTTTTACCTTACAAACAACAAAGAATGGAAACACAAAAAAATATTACGAATACATACATATATATTTTTATAAAATATATATGTATGTATATATATTTTATATAATTATATAATATATATATGTATATATATATATATATATATATATAATATATAGAAATTATATATAAAAATAATTACACAATTTAGAAATAAATATAATATAATTATATAAATATAATTTGTTAATCTTGCAATCATCCGGCAGCGATGTAAACGCAGATTTATTCACGAGACGCGCGAAGTGTCGGTGCACCGTGGCTTTCGACGTCGTGCCAAAGAAAGCACGATGAAAACTGGAGTAAGAAAAACGAATTATGAGCCGAGAAAGTGAAGGTCGTTGTCGTCATCGAGAGGAGAATGGGAAGCAATTGACGCAGGGAAACTAAATAATAATAAAATGTATTAAAAATCGTATACATTTTGGATATATACGCGTATTGTATGTACACGCGGCCGTATATTATACATATATACATATATGTATATATATATATATTTTTATATATATACATATATATGTATATATAAATACCCATATACGTATAATTTTATATTTTTGGAACCGACAGTGGTAGATTACACCTATGCTTACTATGGCAACGTAAAAATTGTACAGAGCGGCCGACGGCAACCGCGTGTAAAACTCGTCGCGCAATCCAGAACGTAAATGATTGAACGAGAGAAAACGCACGGGTAAGAAAAATAAAGAAGGGAGACAAAGAGAGGCTCCGATATCGCGCTTTCGTGTCGCGAGGAATGAGCGGAGCGGCTACTTTCGTATACACATCGTCTCGAAACACACTCGTAATTATACACACAGTATTCTCATTTTTATTGACAATTAGTGTGACAAAAAGTGGCTTATACAAATACTTATAAAGACTCCTCTTACCGGTTTCTCTACGCCACTCCTCGACGCTAATCGAATACTCTCAAATATCCCGCGGAATGAATCGCATTTCCGGCATCTGCACTCCACAGAATTTCATACTCTTTGTTCTTTCCCTTCTTTCGCCTTCGTGCGGACGCGATATCGCCCATTTCCTCCTCCCCCCTCTTCCATTATTGGCGTGATATGTGGACACTAATTGTAAGACAACTTTACTCCCACTAATTTACAACATTACGTGTGTATGTTTCCGTTTTGGCAAAGGTTTCTAAACCGTCTAAACCGTCTAAGACACACGACGGTTAACGCATCTAACACATTGCCTGTCACATCATACGTGCCACTCATATTGAATGATACTCCTTGTTTCCGAGAGCGCCTCATCATTCAAATACGAATGACACTTAAATTTTCGTAGGAAGTCGTTCAACGATGTTTTATAGCAAAAGAATAAATTACGAAAGAGAAAATTGCGTTTGGCAACCTGGGAATTCGTCATTAAATTGAGTGTCATTCACATATGAATGACGTGGCAGTCAATGCGTTAAGTTTAGATGAGGCAGTTTTCGTTTTTCTTTTTTTTTTTTTCAGTCGTTTTGCTTGTGCTCTGCGCTCGCAACATCTCGTAAAGAAATACAGCGGGCAGTGATCCAAGATTGTCATGCCGTACGCTTTATCTATTTCCATCTTTATCTATAGCTCGAAATCAAATTTCGCGTTATTACCTTACGATATTCTTACAGGGCTTAAAACAGGAAATCCCTGAGAGTCACGATAAATACGTTACCTAAAAAATTCGCCCAAATTTGTGTCATATAAAATTTATTCATTTATTATACGTCCGGTCGTAGTTCGCTTACGAGATGCTGTAAAAATTTTTCCGATTCCGCTTTCTCTCTCTCTACGAATTTCGATTTCCGGTACTAGAAAAGGTTCTGGATTAACGATATTGCTAGTGACTGACGTCGTCACGCGTATAATACGTACTTAAGGGCTGTTACTTCCGCTTGTATCCCGCACGTAATCTCGCTCTCGGGGACTATTTCTAGATGATCATCGGGATTTACATAAGAATTACATACGCGCGCGTGCATAATTTTCCTCTACTTACTATGCTTCGGGGTGAACGGGGATTTTCCCTCCTTCGCGCTCCTTCGCGCCCTTCGCGAGAAAGGGTCGGCCGCCCTTTCTACGTGCTCACCGCTATCGCGTCGACCGTCCTTCGCAATACGTGATGCAAAGGAGCCGACCACCACGCGAAGTACAGTAAAAATAAAAAGAAACGTCGCGTCTCTTATATTCTCCATTATTATCGGTTCCGCATACGACGGTTTGCGCTCTGGTGAACTACGCGAACGCGACAAGAGAGTGCGACACGCCCTTACTTATACGGTATAAAAAGATTCGCAACTAGGACACCAACATGTGTTAAATTACGTGTGATCTTCGCGAGGCAGACCTATATATATATATATTTTTATAATATATCTGTATTTACGCATTCTATGGACGCGTACGGATTTAGTTCCGCGACGATTGTCCGCTCGTGGCAACAATAACGCTCGATTCTACTATTGCGAAAATTAGATTAAAATCTGTTCAAATTATCGATTAGTTCGAATCGTATTGTGCAATCTGAAATTATAAATTATATATATTTACTTATTATAAACTAAAAAATATATAACTCATATGTATATGATTCGATGAGATTTACATATTTATAAACTAAAATTTCAACAAAATAACATACATGCCAGATCTCGTCAATCTATTTCGAACTTTCATTAGCAAAGATTAAATTTATTTCGAGAGATTAAATTTAACGGTCCGATCTTACGTTAGAAGCAACTTGACAAATTCTGATTAATTAACGAATTCTAACTAAACGAAACAAAGAGATGTATCTGATTAAATCTTTCAAGGAACCGCCAAAAGTGGAATACTATCTCGGAGGAAAGTTGGTGAAAGCGGCGTATTCCAGTTCGACATTGCATAACGTGGACCAATTAACGGACTTTTCCGTCTATATCGAGCGCGACAAGTTTTGTCTAATAATTGCTCGTGAAAGGAAACGACACGGCACTCGCCACAAGCGCGATCGTCTTTCGTGCCTCGACACACCCTACCAACGAGTCTGGCGACCGTTTCTATTTACAGCATCGGCTAACATCTACAGTATTTACAGTTGTCCTGCCTAGTTTGTTACTTCAGCGTTTGTCCTGTACACTCCGTTTACTCCTTCGTCGCGCGTCTATCGTGAGCGGCGGCGGCCTGCTTTTCGGTCGGAGCTACTTTCAAAATTTCGCGACCCCTCGGATCGCGAAGGGCGGCAGTGGGCGAAGAATTGGTATACGAGAGTGGAGGGATATCTCCCCCGGAAAGGGATATCTCTCGGCGCGCTCGACATCGAGAACACCAGTGGCAGTTTTCTCTCTCTTCCGGGAAAGCGAAAGGGGAGGGGGGGAAAAAAGGCAGGCTGCCGCTTTTTCGCGTACGCGTCGCATCCGTGTGTGCATCCCCCACAACATGGCTCTTTAATGGCTAGATTAGATAAATAGACGAGACGATACACGTTAGACGGACACGTTGGCGGGCTTTACGAGCACCGCCTTACGAGAATGTAAGAAAGATTAGAGAGAGACAGATAGATAGATACGGATAAAGATAGAGAAATCAATCGACATCGTTCACAGTTATAGTCGTATCCACGCACATACATTCTTGCGTACCACTCATTGAATCTTTCTTCTAATCACAATCTCTAATCACTATACCGCGACACTCGAGCGATCCTCCCTGCCGATAATATCAAAATGCACCGCCGGGTTCAGGATTCGTCCTTTCACAGAGCAAAATTTCTTGAAATCGACCGGCGAGACGAAGATGTCGAAGAGATCGCCGATGATCCGAGCTGGAGAGAGAGGATTCCTTGAGATTCCCGCGGGAGAAGACACGTACAGGCTAATACGTATATCGGGTAATCAAGAAGCACCGCGGCCGCTCGTCGTCCATCGCGCGGAGGATGCGCCCGATGACACCGACCGACGTCACCGGGTCGTCTGAATCGTTCAATCTCCACGTGCGCGATTCCACGTGGATCCCTTTTCACACTTCGGTAGCCTGCGTGTAGGAGGGCGCGATTCCGTGCGCCGGCGTCAGCGGCCCCGTCGTGGACGCGAGCGACCTCCTGGAGTAGATGGTCGCCGCCGAATGGGGCGTATGCGGCGCCGTGTGCGGCGTCGCGTGCGGCGTCGCGTTATGCCTGCGCGAGGCCGAGGCGAAGGGCTAGATGGGCCCGTAATTGCTGAGGGCAGAAGGCCTCTCTTGTGACTCGGCGCATCCAGCGGTGTTCATATCGCCCCCCGCAGACTGGTGACGTCATACGTGCGAAAGCGGCGGTTGCTTGAGTACGTGATGATGCAGGTGATGCTGGGACGCGCTGGCGACGCTGCCTGGGGGTAACAGGGCGCTGCCCGGACCCGGCGCCGACGGGTATGGCATCGCGATACCACGTCCCACGACGCCCTTGATGCCAACGCTGCCAATACCGCCGCCGACGCCGGTCACGCCGGTCACCATTCCGGCGCCGGCGCCCATGTGGCCGCGATCGCCGCCGAATAAGCGCCTCCATAGTCGTTTCCAGGAGTCGACTGTCTTGCCACTCCAGATCCAGACTCCTGAGGTAATGCCGACCGCGAGAGCCATGAAGTACTTCAACATCAGGATCGAGTAGAGCGGTCTTGCCCGTGGGTGACAGGGACACGCCAGTGAACTGAGCCACTCGTCCCGCAGAGACGACTCGTAGATATGGCACGCCAACACCACGCCGGCTGGTAACGTATAAAGGACGCTGAACACGCCGATCCGTATCATCAGTTTTTCCAATTTATCCGCCTTAGCCCCGGGCTGACGCTTGATCACCGATCGAATTCGGAAGAGGCTCACGAAGCCAGCCAGCAGAAAAGTCGTGCCCAGCAAAAGATAGACGAACAGAGGCGCCAGGATGAAATTGCGCACTCCCTCGGGTGCGACCGTACAAACTCCAGCTACCGGGTCACCGGCGACGCCACCCGCGACGTACGCCCAAACCGTTTGCACGGTCGGGGCCAGCCACGCCACCAGATGGAAATATTGCGAGTACGATGCTATCGCCTCGTTGCCCCACTTCAAACCTGCCGCGAGGAACCACGTGAACGCCAGGATCACCCACCACACGGAGGAAGCCATCCCGAAGAAGTAAATCAGGAGGAAAACGGTGACGCAGGTGCCCGGGCCCTGGGCGCCCGATTTCAAAGCCGGGCCGTCGCAGGCGATTTCTTCGTGGCCGAACACGCTGCGCGACAAATATCCCACGGACACGACGAAGTAGCACGCTGACAGGAAGACGATCGGTCGCTCAGGATACTTGAAACGCTGGGTGTCGATTAAGAACGTGGTGACGGTCACGAGAGTGCTGGCGGCGCATAGGCCGCTCCAGAGCGCCAACCAGACGGCCGCGAACTCGCGCTCCTCGTTGGTGAGGAACGCGCCGCGGCACGGCAAGGCACAGTTCTGCACCCCCGCGATCTCCTGGATGATGCTTCGGCCGATACCTCCCATCGATGGCGGTGCCGGCGCCGGCATTATCCCACTTACGGCCATGCCGGCCAGACCAGCTCCCGTGTTGGCCCCGGTGCTGCCGCTCCCGATGACGCTGCCGCTGACGGCGCTTATCGGTCCTGACATTCCCGTACCACCCGCCCCCAGGGGCACGAGGGGCGCTCTGCATCTGCACGCGCAGTCCCTCGTCCTCTCCCCCGGGGGGTGCTGGCAGTTTTTTTGATTCTTGCCCTTACAGGGACGGAGCGGCTGCGAAGTCTTGCTGGGCCGTGTGGGCCGCGCCGGTGGACCCGGCGGTTGTCCCGGGACACCGCTGCTCGCCGCGCCACCGCTGCCACCAGATCCTGTACTAGTGCTGGTGTGATTATCCTGTTCCATGCACAGGTTCTCCGGGTCGCCGTGATACGGCAGACGTTCGCATGCCATTCTCTCCGGCCACGAGAAGCCGTATTGCTGCATTAAGGGCGCGCAACCCGTTCGCGCTCGCTCGCACACGCTGCGACACGCTGGTAGTGGTTTCGTATACTCCGGCAGGCAGATCGGCGCGTACATGGAGCACAGGAAGAACTTGAGATCCGCCGAACACTTTATCTCTACCAGCGGCCAGAACTGGTGCACTTCCAAGCCGGCCTCGTCCTGCGTGTCGTGATTCAATTCGTTCGGCATGGCGGTGAGATTGTAGCCGATACCGCGGCACATAGGAATTGTGATCTCTTCGCAGCGACCCTTCCCATTGCCGCCTCCGATGCCGGAATGCCCGCCACCTCCCCCATTTATACTGGAATGGCCACCACTTACACTACCGCCGACGCCACCAACGCCGTTGCCGTTTCCAACACCGCCAACCCCGTTGCCGCTGGGACTGGAGCTGTCGGACACCACGCCGATCACCGACGACGACGAGGATGAGGAGCTGCCGGACGAGGAAGAGACTCCAGGCCCCGATCCGATGATACTACCTATCGGATTTATCGCCGATTCCGGTAATACATTCGAAAACGTCGTCGCGAACACCAACAACGTTAACAGATTCGTCATTGTTCGTGTGGGAAATAGCTTTGTCCGTCGCGCGGATCTCGTGCTCAAGGACGTTCGACTCATGGCTGCATAGCTCGCATAATGGCAGTCTGCAACAGAAAGCAAAGAGTACCATTTTATTATCATTGTTTTCATAGCGAAATTATGAAAAGTATAAGGCTGCAATATTTAAATCATTTTGTTTCGTCTTTATAAAGTTTCAGTCTGCAATTATAAATCAACAAGTATCGAATGTTGAATATGAAAGTAAAATGTCATATTACTTTTACTATATAGTTCGTAGATTACGAACAGATTAATTCACATAAGTAGACAAATTTTCTATATTTACTATACGTAAAATAAACATTTAATGTTTATTTTATTAAATTTATTTAATTTGTTAAATGTTTAAAAACATTCTTGATAATAATAAAATTGTATTGAAAATTTATAGCCTTCTATATAACATTTGATTCATCATATTGACTTGAGCTTCTTCAGAAATTCACTATTCAGAAATAATTTCCGTACATCAAGGGAGAGCTAACATCAGTTCTCGTTAATAACTCCATTCTGCGAATAACGCGTAACTCGACGGACAAGGGAGTATTTACCGGAGATAGAGTATTCATCACGTTTCGAAGGGACTGGGCGTATACCGAGTAGGTTCGAATTTAATCCCGAGCGAGAGGAGCGCGACGACTGCCCGAGCGATCGGTCGGCCGAAACGCACGCACGCGAGTCTCGCTTCGTTTGCAATTCGGGCTATCAAAGCAGCACGGTGCCCGGTTTCGGTAACCCGGCCGGGTAACTCCGGGGCGAGCCGCACCGCGTGTATCCGCTCTTTCGTAAAAGTCCGAGTCGGCGATCGATGCCTAAATAGCCGGCCGGCGCGGGATGCGTCTGGCCGCTCGCTCGCTTGCTCGCTCGCTCGCTCGTTCGTTCGTTCGTTCGGTCGACCTTAACGAGCAAGGGCGTAGCGTTCGAATGTCTCGTACATAAATCAATGTCGGTGCTTCGATCGTTCGCTAGAGATACCCGGTTTCGAAACCGGTACGCCTCTCACGGAGCTGTGGGGTATCGGCTCGAGAGCCCGGATAAATTCACGAATAACAAATAACGAATAAAGAATAGAGATTCTTATTCGTGAATAGGAATAACTCTATTCGGATAAAACTCTTTCTGTGTGTATCACGAAATAAATGTATAATTAAATATTGTATTCGAATAAAATTTTATTCGAACGATACGTTCAGATAATCAATATGATTGAACTAGAGTACGAAGAGCATTTTTTTAAACGAATTGTAATTTTATCAATTTTTTATTGATATTTTATTAAATTGCAATTGAATTTTTATGTTTCTGAAATAGTGATACAAATGCTATTTATTTTTTGTACGTATATTATTATTTTTTTATATTAATATTTTGTTTGTATACGCATGATACAAATATATAAAATTTTATTCAAATAATGAGATGAATAAACATTTATTCGAAGAATGCAATTGTGCCATGGCGGAGAATCAAAGGCTGTAGGAGGAAAGGGAATGGGGGAAGCGCAAAAGGCTGAAGGGTACAGCGAGAAAGGAAGAAAGACGGCGTGAAAGAGAGAGAGAGAGAGAGAGAGAGAGAGAGAGAGAGAGAGGGGAAAGGAGAGAAAGAGGCAGAGAAAAGGGATCGAAGCAGTCATGGATCTTATAATAGTCGACCCGCGGAAAACACGTGACCGGAGCGAAATGTTATCGTAGGAGGCGGTGTGTTAGTTTTACCGTTTGTTAACTTGCTAGCGCCTCGACGCGGCCGTCGCTATTTATAAGACGCCGCCCGTCGCGGGTCTCGACGTGCATGCAACCCGCGTTGGAATTAAGGGAGGAGAGAAGTTTCTACCCGCTGCTACGTGTGTGGCTCGAAATCCCCGATACGGCCGATTGGCGTGCGCGCGGTATAACGAAATGCACCGGCGCGGCGAGCGAGATGCATCCGCCGCCGCCGCAGCTGCGCGGAAGCGAGGCCCGGCCGATGCCTCTCAATAGAGACGTATGCGCTTTTGATTTTCGCTTCGTTACGGAGTTCGCTTCGGAGCATCGTTGAACCCGTCAACGACGCATTATCGCGATCTCCCTTCGACACGATCTCCCCGGCCCGGCCCTCTCTGCCCGACAATATTATACAGTGAGAGAATGCGTCATTATATATGAATCGAAGCGCGCGCAGCGCGCGATTGCGCCGTAATGAACACGCGCGTCGATCATGTATAATCATCAAACGAGCGTGTCTATGCTTTTCATCCGTCGCATTTACGGCCTTCACGCGTATCTCGCGCGCGCCCAATCGTTATCTCGTCGTTTCATCTTAAAAATAACCCTACCTGATCGCTTTGGCGACGACGCTGGGAAAATTCCGCCTTTCGTCATCCATCTTTCATCGTCTTTTCATGTCTGCTTTTTTATTCTTAGAGGAGAATCGCGCGACCGATACCGCACGCGGTGATCGCGATATAATATATCGAAATGGAGCCTGCGGGCTTGCTGGCGTATATCGGCGGCCGATACGGGGAACTATTATACATAAAACTTATTCAACGAAACGAATATCCATTAATGTATTGCATAAAGCAGAGGTAATATGAGGGAGGTAGGAGGGACCCCGGCAATGAATCACTTTTAAAGCCTCGCCCCTGCTGCCATGGGATATGCGGGCTGCTGGCCAACGTTGTTTGGGTTACGATACACTCCTCTTTTATGGAAATTCGTGCTCTTTTTGCTCTCCCACGCTCTATCCTCGCTTCATAACTAGTTTCTGCGAATAGCACGCGCTTGCATAAGCGCAATCCATTTGCCGTCAGCGTCGCGCGACAGCTAATTAAAAGTTTATACATATTAATATTCCGCAAGTCCTTTCTGTACACTAAAAGTCATTTATTTGCCTTCGCTCTCGCTGGATTGATCGTCGCGAGAGGATGGGGTCGATCGCTACGTTTCGCTTTAGTGCCGCGGGTCGCGAGAAGAAAACGCGTCGCGATACGCGTGAAGAGGCGCGCTTCTCGCGTTAAAATAGCGATTTGTCCGCTGTCAATCCGTCTTCTTGAGACTTTCGATTTTCGCCGCGGCGAGGGAAGGTCGGGGTTACATCCGGGGCTCGTAAAAAGGGACAAGCAGCGCGAGGCGTAAGCGCGAGCACAGCAGCAGCAGCAGGCAGCAGCAGCAGCAGCTCGCCGTGATATCGCGCGTTTCTTCGCAAACGCTCGTAAAGGTACGTAAATCAAAACGCGCGACGAGATTTATGGTGAGGTATGGATAAGGTATGCGTTATGCTCCCCCTCGTTAGATGGTAAAACTGACGGCGGTCAGCCGGCGGTGTCGGGTTTTATATCAAATCGCGCGTCTCACGAGCATTAATCATGAATTCACCGTGTTCGCGCCCCTCGCCTCCGTCTCTCTCGCCGCGGAGCTAAGAAAAACAAGGAACGGCCCGCCGCGCCGCGGTCGCGCCGTCGAGATTCATCCGCTGTCTCTCGATGATCTTGCATCATCGTTCGAAAGTTCCCACTGTCGTTCGTAGAAATAACTCGTCGACAGATTTAGCTGTATATGCTAACTCCGCGATAAACACTGTCGCAATTAGCATCGCGCATAAATTCCACGTGTGTCGCCTATGAAATCTTCTCAATTATGCTAATTTCTTGATTTAACGAGTTATAAAAAATTTCGCTGTGACAGGATTAGCGTAAAGTTTCGATTTATCACAGGAAGAATGCCGGAGAACCCTGTGGCGACAATTTTCATTGCAAAGGAGACGCATATATAAGCTGTAATTAATTTCAGCTTCATTTTTATGCGCTATTCTATTTCAATTTTTAATTTAGCTCAAGAATCAATTTTAGAGAGAAAGAGATTATAAATATATAAATAATAAGTTTTAAAATAATGTATTATTAAAAACCTAATTCTAAATTATAAATCTTTGTATTAATTTTGTAGCATAATTTAATAAATCTATATATCAATGAAGCAAAACAAGTGAATGAGCTAATATCTCTTATAATAGCTACAAATGGATGATAAAGAAATAGTACATCTAAGCTCGTTTCTATTCTTATCTAGTATATTTTTCGCACAAGAATTTATTCTAATAACAATTTATGCATTCGCCAGATATCGCGCCACTCAAGAAGACTTCCGTCCGAGATATGGAGTAGCACGATTTCGGCGTGAAGCGAACAGAAGCGTTTGACGCACACAGCGCGTATACATCTCACGGGAAGTTAACTCCGCGTAGTTTACGTGCGCAGCAAGCTCCTTCTGGTATCTATCTTTCCCGACGAATCTGAACATCTAAACTTGGCCTTCGAGCTCTCCTTCTGGATGGAGTTTATTAACGGTGCAACGTGCAGAGAGCGTGCGCGAGAGTCGGAAAGGAAGAGAGAGAGAGAGAGAGAGAGAGAGAGAGAGAGAGAGAGAGAGCGAGCCTAAGTCGCGCGAAAGCACCGATAACCGGAACTATTTGTTAGAGCCCCCGGGTGTGTGATACGCACATTCGCGCCCGACAACATGTACTTCGGGGCCTTTATGCGAATATAAAGCACGCTTTCACGCATTTCGAACGCCACGTTCTGCCGCGTGCCGTAATATATAGGGTGTTTCGAGCTCTCGTCGCTTCGTAACGTATTACAGCGAACAAAATCAAAATCATAGAAATCCGATATAAAAAAAAAAATAAGAAGTTTATTGAAGTTACAAAATCTTGCTTTTTAAAACATACTTCACAATAAAATTAGAATTAATAGATTCTGTTGCGGTAATCTAATTAAAGATATCGCCACAGCATTTAATAGTAAAAATTCAAATTTGGTATGATATAAATTTTCATAAAGAGGGGGGGGCGATATGTAGCTGCGAGGAAAGGCGATGGAAGCTGTAATATTCCATATTTATTCTTGAGATGCGGGGAGGGATACACGTGTGGCGCGGCTTGTACACCTTTTTCACGCGGCGGGATTACGGGATACTCGGCAAACAGCCTGTGTCTCGGTAAAAAGTGCGGAAGATATTCTCAATATCGCGCGCTCGAGTCTTTGCGGCTGAAAAACAGTCTTTCTTCCCTTCGGGTATCCGCGCCTCCGCGCTATGCGAAACTGCGCTGTTACCCGAGTGGCGCAGCGATTCCCAGAATACACGCGTAAGATCGGATTTACCAAAGCCTGCGTGAAAGCGGCACGTTTGGTGTACGCGGTGCTCCGTTAAATTTTCGTCAAGCCGCGGATGTATTCTTTGATCAATTTGACGTCGGCTTTTCCGTTTCGCGACAGTTTAAACGAAAATGTAATTATTAACTTAATTATTCTTGAAAATTACGGGATCTTAAATTGTTCCAAGTTTTAGGGCCGTAAATAAATAACGAAGTGCCACTCTTCAGTCAGCTCCAAAGGGTCTTTTTATTTCAGCGGAATCTCCATTAAAATTTTATCGAGACGTTCAATGTAATCGAATATCGTTAGACTGAAAGTGTACCATTTCCCTCACAAAGTGTCTTTTTTTTTACTCGCGGTTAGCTATTTGTATGTGTAATTGCGCCGACGTGGCAAACTGCAAACGCGCGCTCTCGCGATCCATCACCTACCTCCATCATTTCCTCTATTTTCACCTCAACGCCGCCCGAAGCGCGATAAAGAATGTGTAACAACCGATGATGCATCGCTCGTTCAATCGGGGATACGGACGCTCGATAATCGCACCATCGAGTTACCACCGAGTCGCGTATATCCGCGCGCACACCGAGACACACGCGCGACGAACGTATCATTTGTCCAGGAGATGAAGTTCCGCCTGTAATCGTCGACACGGGCGCTTGTCGATTGCGCGCCAAGTGGATCTTGATATAACTATTTCCTGCCTCGAGTTTCCTCTAAGCCCTTTCTGCACACGTTCTGTCCGTTCTGTCCGATGTGAAACCGGAGGTGATCTTCCTCGCGAGCGCGCATGGAGCTCCGCGCGCTCATCGCGTTCCCAGCAATCATCGCGTTTAATACAGCGAGCAACAATGCGAGAACAAGCTTCTTTTCGCGCGAGCGAACCAACAACATTGGGCGTTGTCGTATCCTGCTCTGCTGTGATACGCGAGAGACTCCGCGACCGGAAAAGCCGACGCACTCGCCGGAGCGTTTTTGCCCGCGCGATCGAGAGCAAAAACTCATTTCAAACCGTAATTCGTAAAAAAAAAATTTCGCCAATAATGGAAATACATTTCAAAGTGTCTTATTATTTTCTATTGAAAATTCCGTGAAACGTAAAATGAGAAATTCTTCAACTTTAAAATTTCTAATCTTAACAACCTGAATAAATAGACGGGAAAAAAACTCAATTGTCAATGTATTATATAAATAAAAATTATCGGCTCAATGGCGTCTTTAAGCACGCATTACTGCGCGCGTATGGAGCGTTCGGAGCCCTCCTCAAGTAATAACGTTACAACATTTCTGCAAGGAGAATCCCAATTTGATACACAGGCTCGTAATAATCTCCCGCGGGGTCTAGTAAGCAAGATTGTCATGTCGGGATACCTTTTATCTCCCTATAAAACGACGCGAGGGCGCGCTCGTACACACACACCTCGCGGCCGCAAATACACGGGGCGGTACGTAGGTGCTATCGCGAGGTTGGCGGTAAACGCGATTCCTTTTGTTCCCCGCGCGTTTACAAGGCTGCGCACACCTATATAACCCGCGCGCCGTACGAGCGCGAGTAAACTGCGGCCGAGAAGGATCACTGATCTCGTCACGCCCCTTTCCCCCGTCGTTCCACGTCCCACCTTCCACCATCCTTTCCTCTTCGCTCACACCTTCCGCCTGTGTGTACGCGCGCTAATTAATCAGGGAATGAATTATGGATTCATGCGCTCGCCTAATTGGATCCGTCGCCCCACGGAGGCGCGAAGCGTTCGGTCCCAGAAAGCGTTGGCTCTCTTGCGATTCACCTTGATTCGCGATTGAAAAAGGGAGAGGGGAGGAGAGAGAGAGAGAGAGAGAAAGAAAATACATCGCGATAATCGGCGGCAGAAAATGCTCTGGCTGAATCGCGTACAGCTATCGATGCGTATCGCCATCGAAATGAGCTTATCAAATATATCGCGTACTTCCCAAAAGTTTGCATCGCGTTTGCCTCTTAATGAATTTTCGTTTGCACGTTATCGCCGTGAACTGTCGAGAGTTTTGTTTGTTTCGCAAATAAGAGGCGAAAAGAAAATTTCGTCTCCAAGAACTAGTAATGAGGCGGCTCTTTAATGTTACCTCGCTGATTACAGAATTCGGTCATCGCCTCGGTACAAATTAATTCCGCCAAAGCGAAAGCTGCGAGGTGTGAAGCGGAGCGATCTAGGTTCTTTGAGTTAGCCATCATGATCGTTTGATCGTTACCGAGAATATCGGGCACGTTAAACAGAAGACAGAAGTCGGTCACCACCCCCGATCCGACTGGGTGTACATTTTTCGTTAAAACCGCAACGATGTAGAAAATGTCAGCCGCGTCTCCCGCTCGCTATACATTCCCGAAACGTTCGATGGAAACGTTGATAAGGTATATTACCCGCTTTGTGTCGCGGCTGGACGGTCATACAGAAAAGCCCAGCTCACGGCTAACAGGAGGACGGAGCAGAAGAGATGTGAGAAGAGGCAGGGCGGTCCTGCAAGCCGTGGAAGATGAACGAGTCGTTGCCACGTTTACTATTTACTTTTCACGTGCGACGGGCAGCAAAAGCAACGACCATCCCGGCGCGTCTCGTCGCCGCGGAGAAGAAGCCAGCTGGAACCGGCCGAGCAGTTTTTCCTGGAGGAAGAGAGAGGAAGCCCTCTCGCTCCTCGACGAGAGCGCGAGCGAGACGGGAAGACTTTAAAACCGTAAATCATCGTCCTTACACGCCGCGCGGATGATGGCGCGTGTGGGGAAGCGAGAAAGCAAAGAGAAGCTCGGGGGGAAAAAAGGAGGAGATCGGGGAGATAAATGGGTAAACAGGTAGACGGATGCGTGGAGATAGGAATGGAGGGGTCAGAGAGATATCCGCTGCTCGTTATACGGCTGCCTTCGAATTCTAAAATTCGTATATCCAGGACGTCGTATCTATCTGACATATTGACCTCGAACAAAAATATTCCAATGAATCTTTCAAGATCTTTTACGATTATGCGAAACATTCGATTATGCGAGATCACGTAAGATTAACTGGCCGATTCGATCTTCGATCTTCGACGCATGTGAGATATCACGATAATTTGAATTTATCACGGTAGTCAAGATCTCTCTTTCTCTCTCTCTCTCTCTCTCTCTCTTTTAACTTTTTATCAACTCTAAATAATTCTAATAATTTTGAGAGTTTTGAGAATAAATTTTGCTTTTAATAAATTTTTTTAATTCTAGATTTTATATCAGAAACTTTACATTCAGCAATAAATATAGAGTCAGAATCTTAACGATTAGCTACAACTTGACGCAACAATATTTTTCAAGGCAATGAATATCTAAAATATACTGGGAATGCGCATTTGGCATCGCTGCATCTCGCGAAAAGTATATTCCGCAGTCAGTCCTTAATTAAGATCGCAGGAAAGTCCGATTTATGGCAAGGGCCCTTTATGAGTCCTCTTACCGCGTCGAGCGTAGATAAGCGACCGGCTTGGATCGCGTTTACAAGCATCTCGCGAGCGGCCTCGCGCCATTTAATTACTCGTAAGAATTAAATGGCGTGTCGTAAGTTGCCGGCGTGGGCTTAAGTGAAAATCCGAAGTCAAGGTAAAAGGAAAAACGGCAGCGTAATCGTATTATTCTCAAGGAAAATTGTATTAGGGACCGAGAGACTCGTGTTCCGCGCTGAAGCTGGTACTTGTTTCCGAACCTAGTTATCTGTTACGAATATCGCCTTTAATGACGGGCTGAGAGAAGCGCAGCTAAGGAACTTCTTATAACTGGTTTCCTGCAAGCGCGCTGCAACCCGGTGAAGATGTATCAAATTTATCGCTTGCGTTATTTAGTGCTTTGCGAGTTATTAACTACAGTTCTGTTGTATTTAACTTTAGACTACACGATTTCGCTTTATCTATCGATTTACAATTTAATAATGTAAATTTAACATCTTTTATGTTGTAGCTATGATTTAGTTACGTTATAGCTACGATTAATAATTTTGAATTTGATTTATTTTGTTTTGGTATCATAATAAAAAAAACTATATCTTCGATCTGTCTTTCGATTGCCTTTAATAACTATCTCTGCCAATATTTCATGCACTCAACCGTGACACGTGTACATTATTGTAATATATTTGCATATACATTATGTATTTCATATAAAACGAATGCCTACACTCGATGTCACCTCGTTTTGCTGTGCTGATTATTTCCCGCGCCTTAGAAAGTCGACGGCGCTGTGAGTGTGAATGCCAGTGCAAGCGCGTGGGAAGCGCTTTCCACGAGACAAATTGGCGACATTATCGCGACGGCTATCTAAGGAATCCGTGTGTTACGATGAGAATCTGACCGTTGCGAGAATTTTGCAAGCTCGATGAAAGATGAATTACACGTTGGTGTCTGTACCGAAATTTGCAAGTCCATAAGATTCACGGAAAGTAGTTTCCATAAAAAAATAAACTTCAACGTAAAAGGCGTATGCAATATTGCAATTAAGGCGGAATAAAATTACAATTAATTAAAAAAATAAATCACAATAATGAATGAGTACAGTACAGAATAATAATAATTATCGAGGTAATCAGACAACTAGCGGAGACGTGCGATCGAGTGATAAGCACCAAGCTGATCGCGATAACACCAACAAAAATAACCACGAAGGTGAAACGATAGCAAAATGTATTGAGTAAGCTGTTACGAGTATTACAGCTTCCTGGCAATCACGATTCCATAATTGAACCAGTCTATATCGTGTCTATCCTATCTGACTTTGCGTCAATATTGCGGGAAACCTACAGGAAGGTCAACAAAGTTAAGATACGGTTCGCTCGTTTGAGAGTGTTTGCTATTGAATCTGTTTGAATTTGAAAATCAATTTCCCAGTGGCATACGATTATTATTTTTACGCATCGACGAATGAGACTGTCCGAATTTAATGGCACTAAAACTCTTCAGTCTCTCCAATCTATTTTTTCGTTAGTGTGAAATGAAAAAATAATTAGGATAATTAAAGCCACGGTAAATAATAATGATTAAGCAATTAAGAATGTCAGCATTATTATTTAACGCTTCTCGGTCGATTCTGGAGGAATCCCTGGGCTAAATATTAAGTCACTCATGATAGTACCGAATTAATATAAAGCATCAAGTATACCAAAAAAACATTTATATCCCTGCCAGATTATTAATCACTTAGCGTCAAACATAATCTCTTTCCCAAGCTTGATTTGTTTAACATGAAGTATTGAGGTA